TGATGTAAAAAATTGAAAAGAAAAAAAAAAAGTGTTTTTTTTTTTTTCTTTTCAAATTTTTTTTTTTTTTTTTTTTTTGAGTTGTTGTACCCATAAAATTTCTGGAATAGGTCTCCACAGTGTGGGGGTCAGCTCCAGAGGAAAAGTCTCGCAGGGCCAAATTTTAATGCGAGCTCCTTTGAATACGTGGAGTTCCTTTGATTTTTGCAGCTTAATACTTTTAACATGCCCGCTGCAATTCTCACAAAAAATACGGCAGAAAGATATGCATTCCCTCAAATTGTGTGCAGAAAAATGTTATGCTCAACATTAAATGCGAACAGTTGTATTTATCTGTGTGGATTTGTCGGTCATGAGGGAGCTGGGGTTAGGGTTGCATACGGTAACCATGGGCGCAGTGTGGCACAGCAAAGCTCGTGTGTGTGATGACCAAAAAGCACAAAAAAGAAGCAGACTTTGGTGACACTTCTCTTTGCCACAATCTGTTTATTGTAATTAACTTTATTTCAATTTTATTCTCCATTTCCTCCACCGTCTCCACGTTTTTCCATTGTCTGAAACTTACCTTTGAATTCAGAGGCCAACTCAGACCTGCCCTCTAGTGGACGTAGTACCAAACAGCCATGCCAGTCCACTCGAAGCAGGAGCTCAGTGATGCTCCACAGCTGTTGAATTGGATATTAGAAAACGATAAATTCATGTCAGTAAATTACCTGAGTTGCTTTCATCTGAATGATTCTAAAAGTCACGGCAATTTCTGGGGATAATCAGGGTTACCTGCAATATTTCTTTGTTCAGGCTTTTTGTTCTCCTGCGAGACACTTTGACACATAATTAAAGCTTCTCACGCAGTGTTCCCTATTGTTTAAATATACATACTTGTATTTAAAAAAATTGCATGTGCAGGAGTTTGGAGATGTACTGATTCAAAGCACCAACACACCTTGGAGGAAATATTTTTGACTTAACAGAATTAGAGGGATACTGAGCAGCTTCTTGCACACACAAGCTGTTATATAAGGAAGCTAAATTCAATTCTCAGTCTGAAAGTGTCAGCGTTTCATGATGCCCACACTCTGG